CCGGGGGGGGGGGGGGGGGGCTGGAGATTCATTTGGTTTCGTCCTTTGCTCAATTTATACATATATAGTATACAGAGCCAGAGTTTTATCTAGCGAGCTGTGCTATATTATTATCCTTGAAGAACCGGAAGCCGCCATTCTGCTCGGCCGGGCTGAGCGTTAACGAAAATTTTCATTTCACGCCATCGTGTCACCGATTCGAGAAAGACGCAAAGCAGCACCGGATGATACGTTTAATCTGATAGATCCTTCCTTCGAATCGAGGATATCCTGTTTTGCGTTTAACCGAAATGAAATAAGCGCGGGATTTTTAAATCTGAAAGAACAGCCCACCGTATACGCGTAACGATTTTCGTATACGTTTTTCCAGTTTCAAAGGAAACATTTGTATCCTTGGAATATAATCTTGGAATATAATCATGGAATATAATCTTGCGATCCTATGCTCGTATCGTATAATTAGTCACAGATTTAGAAATGCTCTTAGTTCCGAGAATTAATTTATGTAGAAATTACGATACCGTTCGTATGACGGAGATCTCGGAAAGGGACCAGTACGCCATATGCGTGGCTTTACCGAAGTTAGCTACCCGGCACGACGCACGCACTTGTGCTTGGCTATGTTTGATAACAGTTTCTCGGAGTGTATATGTATATATAGACCATGAAGGAGCTCATGCGTTATGTAGAAAGAGCACACGTGGAAGATTATGTTTTAATTACTAAGCCAGCGTTGAATGATAAATAAATTATTGAATTCTGTATGTACTTCTTTTTTCGTGCGATTATGATTATCTTATTTATTGCCTTTTTCAGGAAAGGGTACAAGCCAAGGATCCACCGTCTCACTATTTGACCAAATTACGAACGTACCTGGATCCCAAAGCATCGCGAAGCCATCGAGTACGTATTACGCTTTTAACGTCTCGTTAGGCGTAAAATAGCAGGAAACCCTTGACACGGTTTCTCATACAGTTTACATATCGTTGAGATAAATTTTACTTGAATATTAATAAAACTTATCGTATCCATTTGCTTAAACTTCATTCAATTTGCATATCGATCTGTCAATGACATGAGATTCAATCGTTATTAATGTAGCTACGATAATCCGTACGAATTTTCATATATTTTATGTTTTTCATCAAGTATATTTCAAGACGGATACTAATCATTACACAGTCGTATCGTTTCCTCGCATTCTTCCAGAAACGGAAAATGGTCGGGGAATCCACGTCGACGCAAGTCCTTCGAGATTTGGAGATATCCTTACGAACGAATCACATAGAGTAAGTAAAGTCCTTGAATTTAACTGGAAAGCAAGAAATTTCTATTCGACGAATCATTTCTGTCGTGTAATACCGTCTATATGTAGTGGCGATTGTCATTTGATTATTCAAATACTCAAGTACCCCAGTTACTATTATTGAGGTAATGATCCCTAAGTGAAACAATTAAGAATTTGCACATTGCCCGGTACATTGTCCCCTATGGTTGCTCTTCAACTGTCATCTAGAAACAAAATATTCTCTTGTGTCTCCGTACAAACGAGAATTTGGTTTGTTCGATGACTTATATACATTAAAATCTAGTTGTCATGCAAATATTTTTCTTGCATTTAAATTGTACATAATAAAATCTAATTATAGAGCCTAGAGTGTAATTTAGGTCAATTTGTTGAAATTAATAAAAAATTTTACTTACAGATGGGTCAGAGAATTCCTGGACGAGGAGAATCAAGGATTAGACGCATTGATAGACTACCTCAGCTTCAGGTTACTTATGATGCGACACGAGCAACGTCTCCTGGAATCCAGAACGGATTCCGATGAGAGGCTACAAATAAGTAAGGAGTCCTTGAGTAATACGTCAGTGGAATGACGGCAGTAATTATAAAAAAATTCTGATTATTTGCTCGGATTTTTAGGTGGAATTAGCGACAGTTCTCCTCTTAACAATGGTTGTCTGCGACCACCTCTTCACGAGCTGAAGGACAGTCCTGGTGTGAAGCGACGATCGAGACACGTAGCTCGTCTCAATATGGGAGAAGCAAAGGACGACATACATGTTTGTATACTTTGCATGCGCGCCATTATGAATAACAAGGTACGATAAGTGAAATATTTCTTTAATTCATCTTTGAGCATTTTTTCTTTACGCTTATAGAAAGATAAGACTCGCCTTTCACCAAGGATTTTCAACATTGGGTTTCTTTTTCATTACAGTATGGATTCAATATGGTCATACAACATCGGGAGGCAATAAATTGCATAGCTTTGAGCTTGATACACAAGAGTTTAAGGTGAGACTATTTGTTAAGGATTTATGACAGATATATTATCTGATGAGATATTCACTAGTCAGTGAATCAGTTGTAGTATTGTTTTTATTCTAATAATAATATTTGCTGCTTTTTTTTTTAGAACAAAGGCTTTGGTCTTAGAACTTCTCGCTGCAATTTGCCTAGTGAAAGGTGGACACGAAATCATTCTGTCGGCGTTTGACAACTTTAAAGAAATTTGCTCAGAGAGAAGAAGATTCACTACTCTAATGGAATATTTCACGCAATACGACAATTTTCACATTGAGTTCATGGTAGCATGTATGCAGTTCGTAAATATCGTTGTTCACTCGGTCGAAGATATGAACTTTAGGGTGCACTTGCAATATGAGTTCACGAAGCTTGGGCTCGATGAGTATTTAGAAAAGCTAAGGCATACCGAGAGTGAGGATTTGCAGGTGCGTGATAGACGATCGTTTCATTAATCTTATAAATTGACGTACACTTCTTCCATGTAATATCTTCCTTTCAGGTACAAATCTCAGCTTACCTAGATAACGTATTCGACGTTGCTGCTCTGATGGAGGACAGCGAAACGAAGACTGCTGCCTTAGAAAAAGTAACCGAATTAGAAGATGAACTTGGACATGTAAGATCTGTTAAGAGGCCATTATAATGTAATTAGTGATATCCTGCGTACGTGGTTAACGTAGCTAACCATTAATTTCAATGACAGGCCAACGACAGGATGGCAGAATTGGAAAGAGAATCATTAGCCAAGTTAGCGGAGTTGGAGACAGAACTGGGCGCTATAAAGGTAGAGTACGTAGATGCCCTGGAAGCTCGTAGGATGGTAGAAGAAGAGCTTGCGGCCTTGAAGAGACAAAGGCAGGATTCTGCAAGGAGGCAAAGTGTCCTTGAGAATAAAATTATCGAGCTGGAAACACTCACTGGAACACTTACAAAAGGTTCCTCAGGTATGGTTATAGTATTATTACACGTGACAATTCTCTGCAATAGTTCTTCTTAGACCTAACAGTCATGAACTGTTCGCTTTCACAATTGGAATTACAAACTTGCAGCTGCTAGTCTACGAAACGAGTCTAAATCGTCAATGCCAACTGAAGATAATGTTACGTCAACGACAATGACGTGCGCGCCCTCATCGCCTGTAGCTGAAATTCCTGCGCCTGCCCCGGCACCGCCGCCGCCACCTCCACCGCCTTGTCCACCACCGCCACCCATGACACCTCTTTCTCCTAAAGATCATAGAGTTCCACCTCCTGCGCCTATACCACCTCCGCCTGCTGGAATGATGCAAGCACCTGATGGCGCTATGACTATCAAACGAAAGGTACACTTCTTCCTCAGTGCTTCTTAATGAAGGATTAATCATTTATTCAGTGATAATTGAAAGCTCAATTTGAATATGTTGACTGACATTTATTGTATTTTCTTCGATAGGTACAAACTAAGTATAAGCTTCCTACACTCAATTGGATTGCTTTGAAACCTAATCAAGTACGTGGAACGATATTCAATGAATTGGATGACGACCGTCTTCACAGTTATATAGACTTCTCTGATTTTGAGGAGAGATTTAAAATTGGTTTGGGCGGACACGTAACCAACGGCAATAGTGAGATGGATGGTCTTCAAAGTTTCCCCAGTAAACGTTTCAAAAAACCTGAAAATGTGTCGCTTTTGGAACATAACAGGTTACGAAATATCGGTAAGTCTTATTGCATCGTTACTCTTTCATTTATCAAAACAATAAACGAGTTTTAGAATATATATATATATTTTTTGACGTCTAGCTATATCTAGAAGAAAAATCGAAAAGCCGGTAGAACAGGTGATAATGGCTGTAAATGGACTCGACCTGAAAGTCCTGTCACTCGAGAATGTGGAATTATTGCAGCGCATGGTGCCTACGGATCAGGAAGTAAGTCGACAGGTTTCCTTAACGTAATAGCATGACTTTTTTTCATGTAAAAAAGATGCATCCTTTTACGCTCGTATTTTTCCTTTTTTTTTTAGACTAAGGCGTACCGCGAATATATCATCGAAAAGAAAAACGTCAATTTATTAACAGAGGAAGACAAGTTTTTACTTCAGCTTGGAAAGGTGGAGAGAATCTCAACGAAATTGTCAATAATGAACTACATTGGAAACTTTTTCGACAATCTTCACCTCATCACTCCTCAAATTCATGCCGTGATATCCGCATCAAGCTCTGTGAAGAGTTCAAAAAAATTACGTGCCGTATTGGAGATAATACTCGCTTTTGGAAATTATCTCAATAGCAGCAAAAGGGGACCTGCCTATGGTTTCAAGTTGCAAAGTTTGGATACGTTACTAGACACAAAATCAACTGACAAGAGGATGTGTTTATTACATTATATCGTAGCAACCATAAGGCTCAAGTTTCCAGAGCTCATTAATTTCGAGTCGGAATTGATGTACATCGACAAAGCCGCCACTGGTATACTAATATACTAATTTTTATTATTTTTCAATCTTTATAATATTACCTAAAGTTGTGTCCACTATATAATATTGTTACGATTTTCAATATTACTTATAGTTTCCATCGAGAATATAACGTCAGATGTTCACGAGCTCGAGAAGGGTATGGATCTGGTGCGCAAGGAGTACGAACTCCGTGGCAAAGAGAAGCACAATACGGTACTGCGTGACTTTCTGAATAACTCTGAAGAAAAACTACGTCGATTAAAATCCGACGCCCGCACCGCCAACGAAGCATTCCGAGAGTGTGTTGAATTCTTTGGCGAGAGTCCTAGGCAGGCTGACGCGAATACCTTCTTCTCTCTGCTTGTCAGATTCGCAAGAGCGTTTAAGGTGAGAGACACTATTGAAATTTAAAAATGGTAGATTGTACCTCGTGACAATAACGTAATATTTACGTTATGAGAACTAAACGGCAGAATAAAAAAAATAAATGATTGTTTTCTACTTTGTTTCTCTCTTTCATTATTACAGGCAGCGGATCAGGAAAACGAACAACGACGAAGGCTAGAAGCTGCCGCAGCAGAAGCTCTTAACACATCCGAAGAAGTTGTCAAACGAAATAAATTGAATCAAAAGAAGCAACAGGTATGCGATAAATTTTTTATTTATTTTTGTCTTCATTGTCTTATGCCGCCCATTATGTCAAGAATATGTATTTTTATTTGAGAGAGAAAGAGAGACGACAAATGATTTTCTATAATGGCACTCTTGCGTACGGCATGCTCTGCTTTATTAACTATGTCCTTCATTGTGCTGTGAATTTATTACTTCTCTCTGTCTTATCCTTTTCTTTTGCAAAATTGCGTAATTGCCATTACGAAACAACGAAAAGTGTACCATTCTACGGGAGTTGTGCAACGTCCCGGAGTAACTTGATTATTTAATGAGTATATTTGAAAAATTACTGTACTTAGACGTTACGGTTACTGCAGAAAATAGTTTGGTATATTATCTCTACATTGCAACTGTTTTTTACTTTATACGTTTATTTGTATTCATAACTTCTTTTTTTTTTTAGAAACTAAAGTCCATGCTGTGCATCTAACATTAATAAAATAGTGATTTTAACAGTTTGCATGATTTTTTGCGTATTATAACGTTACTAGAAAATATACATATATACATGAGGCAATATTTAATTAATCACAAGCACGATTGTCCTTATATTATTTGTTGATTTTTATTCTTGTCACTGACATATGACGTGCCGTGTTTTGTTGCGTCATAATTATTAATTTAATACATCACGGAAGCAGCTTTCTATTTCTCTCCCAACATCAATGCTTCGATCGTGTGCTAATTCTGCATCTTTCATTTCGCTCTTGACTGTATGTATCCTACCTTTATTCTTTTTCGTAATAATTTTATGCACTAAAGTGCAGGGAAATCTCAAGTGTCTTTTTTAATTTCATTAATACGTCATTGTACGAAATTAATAATGTGCACAAGATCACACATATACACAATCGATACGAGCAACCAATTTCCTTTTGTCGTGCCCAATGAAACTCTAATTAAAAAAAGAAAAAGAAAAATAAAGAGAAAGACGTACACAAGATTCTTAAGACAGAAAAATGAATTTCTTTAATAAAAAATACAATCGGTAACCGAATTACCATATTTTGCATTGTCTAGGAAATTACATTTTCTTGGCTTTTGAAAATTATTTTCTGCATTTGCTTCATCTCATGCGGTTGTCACGGAAACTACTGAAAACTACACGGCGTACTAAGATCGAAAATCGTATTATTTATTACTGGGATATAACCTTACTCGATTGGTTGGAAAATATCCTAAATAACGTTCTTAATTCAATCACCCGTAACTGTTGCATGTTTCTTCTAATGACGCTGTGACATATAACAAGTATACATATATACATATGTACCTGTGTATATGTAAGAATCTATTATCATAATATCACACAAATCGATAAATCATACAAATAATTTTGTAATATCCTCCGTTGCATCCAATACTGCTGTCTCAATTTTCTCAATAAACCAAGAAAGGGGTAAATAACAACAATCTGCCATTTCTAAGCTCAAAACTTGGACAACTATTAACTCGGTCAGTCACTCTTAACGAAAAAAATGTTTAGAAAAAAAAACAAAGAGACGCGTTCTCAAAGATAAGATTTTCGTAATTTTCTGATGCGATCGAGAATTTTTCAAAAAAAAAAAATAGATTCATTTAATCGTTGCATGTTGTAATTAAGCATGATTATTTACGAGGGTTTGTCAAATTTTTCCTGCTGATTATAATGATCTTAACGAGTGTCGTTTTAGTAGTTTCATTTGAAAAATTTAAATACGTGTCCTGACGAAACGTATTTTTCTCTTATTTGTTACATATTTATTTGGATTTAAAGTCACCGAAATTTTGCTGTAACTCGAACAAGAGTCTGTTACACCGGCATCTTAATGAACTGGAGCTCAGAACATAACAATATAGAAAACCATTCGCCACATGTAAGTCAGTCCTTACTCACTTCCTCCTATTCGACACTTTTATACTATTTATACTATTATTACCTATATACAGTATTGCACTCATATGCACACATAATTTATACATATATATATATATATTGCCTACGTCACAATAGGGTTCAGCTAATCACCAAAAATACCAGCAAGATTCAGCTTCTTCATCGAATAGTTAATTATATTGCTTATACAAATATACACCATCGCCTGACGTACATACGCGTCATACTCTTGTCACAGTTATGCGCACAGATTAACATTGCACTTTGCATCTTTCATGCTCCTGCCTCATGGATAAATCGAATGTCTCTTGTACTATCACGTTCGTTTAATAATCACTGTTATTCTGTCGTATCCGCACCTGGCTCGGCCACTTTCATGTTCTCCGTATACTGCATTACACGTAAACAGGATATCCAATGTAATTGTCTGGTTAAGTGTCAGGTTTATGTGTTCAATTAATTTGATCGGTTTAACGTTGTATACTTATTGTACAATATGCTGTACAGGTTCAATGAGGTCTTGGAATATTTTCCTTGTTATTTAAATAAGGGGAAATATTTGTATATTTATTTATTTTATATCCCAGGGTATATGGCTGTTCTTGTTTGTTAATGTAAAATCAGACAAAGGTGATATCAATAAGTACAAATTGCAATGGCATGCTGTCGCTTGCATTGATGTTGATTGAGAGAAAATATTTATTGAGATTGAATAAAGACTTGAAAAAATTCATAATCACTTCTAGAAGGTTGTCGACAAAGTTAGGTGGGAATAATTATTAAATTTGTAGAATTTTAAAAAGTCAATTTAATTGTTTGCAAGGTCTATGCAAATTAATTGATGTTACCTGTCAGCAAAGTTTTACTGCGACTTAGGTAAAATTGATCGCGTTATTATTTGTCTGATGTATTGTAGAATCGTCAATGCCTGTCTGGCATAATATTATACCGTGGTATAAATAATTCGAAAACTGTAATTAGAAATGGTGCTCACTATTGCTGCGCGTATAAAGGTTATCAACGTGGCTGCTAAAATAGAAATTGGAACTTTTTCATACATAATAGTAGCTTACCAGGTGTTAGTGGAATTGAGGCTTTTAGTATGATAACTTAAGCTCGCTTATATTAATCTCTTTCTTTTGAACAACAGGACGCTGTGATAAACGAGCTCAAGAATAAAACGAGACTGGTACAGGAGAAGAAGCTCCTGCAACAGGATGAGGTGTATAATGGCGCCCTAGAGGACATTCTCTTGGGTCTGAGATCCGAACCTTACAGAAGAGCAGACGCTGTAAGACGAAGTCAACGTCGACGTATCGATAACCATCGATTATCGCGCACAGCTGAAGAACTTGAACTGTAGTACGTCTTACAATTAATACGTTTTTGAACGTACGTTTCAACTTTGAGACTAAGATTTTTTATCTGAATCTATTGATTCAGATTGATTGTAAACTTGACTATGAACGTTGGAGCTGCTTGAATGTTCCTTTGTTCGAAATTAGAATTTTGAAATGATATAAGTAGAGGGCGATATTGTTTTGTCGTCTGAGAAACGGAATGGGTGCTAAAAGTGCTAGGATGACAGAATCTAAACTAATTTATTTCATCTTGCTTTGTTTAGACTCTGAACTAGTTTAGAATCTTGTTTTTATTTGCGTATCGTTATTAGAAATTGTTTATAGAACGGTTTTTACACCTAGGTGATAAGTGTCTTAGAAACACTGATGATTAGGTCAAATTTAATTGGAGCATTAATCTTTGACAGGTGTATACGGAATTGACTGTTATTCTTTGTACCTCACAAAAAACCAATAGGGATATAATTATTTAATTGTGACGTAATGTGACTATTTTCTTGTACATCTATTACAATTGAAGATTTCAAGTTAGAACACTGCTGAAAATTATATGGATTTGTATGAAAGGTACATTGCTTATCGATAATAACACTTTTGATAAGAAATATTGTAAAAAGTAATTTTGAACAATGGTAATCAAAGTTTTAATAATTCTATTTGTAATTCACCATTGCTAACTGAAAGTTTGTTTTTCTACCCATTCAGCAGTATGGTAATAAGTGAACAGGAAATATTTTCACTTGGTATATTTATTGACTCATGAAAAAGAAAATTACAAAAATTTATTCAATTTCAAAAATAAAGAAACTACTCAATATTAACTCGGAATGCAAATCTGAAATCAATGTAACATTTGCAATTGTGAATCTCTTGTTTTTAATAACGCTCAGTATTAACATTCCATGTCAGTTGCATTGAAAAATTGAAAAGCATATTCAGAGCAAGACTGCTATAATAATGATTTGGATATTTCAACTACTAATTAAATGTATGATATATAGAAGTTATTCAACAATATTTTGACTCCTAATAACACGTTCACGATGTCGCATTACTCACCATTAGCTGAGCGTAAAATACCATGTACATTTAACTTGGTCAATTTAGTGGTACATAAAAAAATTGTTGTATACATTTTCAAAGTATTATTTGCAATCTAATAGCCAGCCATACCCACCGTAAAATGGTTTTTCTCTTTTCAAGAAAAAGAAAACAAATACTTTGCTGATCACATTCCTTCCACGACCTTAAATTGTACGCCAATTAATATTTTAAAAGCTTGAGGATGATTAAACTAAATTAAGTCATCACATGTAACTAAACTGTCCTACGTCAAAGCAACAGAAGTATACACATATCAATGACACTTTAATTTATTTAAAAAAGTGTCAATGATTAATTATACAAAAATTCTCCGCAAGCACTAAGCAATACTGCTACGACAAAGCAAGACATTTTTCACAAGTGATATATTTACATTTCCAAGCAAATTTACGATTTCGAGCAAAATGTCTATATTCTCTATTCCCTGCGATTTTCTTCCCCTTGTATATACACAATTTTGTATAATTACTATAACATTTGCATCTATATTTCAATATTATATGGAAACAAATATTTCTGGTTGGCCATACACATTGCGAATAATTTTCGCACATGTCACAGTTCCCTTGCAAACAGGTACAATTCCACGTGAGTCAATAATGAGACTTATGAAAGGTTTTCACACTCTGAATATTTTATCGCTTTGTTACACACGTGTAACAGGAAAATTAGGATTGCGCAATACTTAGTAATAGACAAATTTCACAAAAATTTTATGTAAGGCAATACCAGCTTAGCTTGATATATAAGTTTTGTACTGTCAAAGCCAAACTGTATATCTCCTCAGTGAAATGTATTTTGTAATATATTTTTTGACCAGAGTAGAATAAGATACTAAAATTGACTACACAAGTTTACAAAGACAAAAAAGTAACTACAGCGCTTTAAAATATTTTAAGGAATTTTGCCGCCAAGTCAAAAATTTCCTTACAACATTACGCGTACATATAATATGCATGTACATATGTGCAGTACCGTGCAATAATCTAGTAACGACTTATGCACGTTTTCTTCGACGCGGTTCGATGCATAAACTCCGTTTAAATGTACTGTTACCCAATCAGACACTTGTATTTTGAAGATAAATGGAGTTTATGCATTGAAACGCGTTGAAGAAAACGGGTGTTAGTCTTTGACCTTGGTATACCTTAAAATATATAAATTTTATTGCTCTTATTGCACGGCACTGTAGAAAAATAATTTGCGAATTTCTGCAAAATTCACTGCGCACCGGCCTGCCTATTCTGAAGGACCATTGCATATCTTTGAATTATTTGCAAAATGAAGAAGAATGATGAACGTTTTTACTTTTGTATCACTTTGATATTATATAATATTAATCGAATAAGAGTCTAGTGTAAATATTATTGTAATATATAAGAGAGTTAAGGAAACTATAAAATAATATAATTTACCATACTTACCGGTTATAAATAGTTTGCCAATGTGATGTTTAGATAAAATAAATGAGATATTAGCTATACACGTTATAAAAATGCATTACCTAGTAATATTGACTATTGCAAATTTATTATAAACGACATATATACGATATAAAGATTCTCAAGTTTAGGGATAATGTTAAAAAAATACTTACCTATTTTTCGCAAAACCTGTAAATAATGTGCATTTCGATAAATAAGTTATGAAGAAAAAGCATAGCGATAATTATCAGTTCTGCATAAAGACAAAATGTCCTAAGCATTACTTTAATCTGATGCCACCAATAAATGCAATACGAAGAAGCACCCTTGGATTATATTTATTAAAACCAAATGTCACACTAATCAATGAATATTGAATCTGGTATTGTTAATTCTCAAATTAGAAAAAATACTCTTGCTCCATACTTGAAATAAAACCCAATCTCTATAAGATTTTATTTATTGTTTATGTGGACGTCCTACATCATTACAATAATTCATGTAAAATATATTTATATACAAATATACAATATACAAAAGGCACAATATATCTACATACTTCAGTTCATATACAATAAAATGCAAATAAAATAACAAAATATAATTCTCATATACAAAAAGCTATCGACGATAGGCAGGACAGCCGCATTACAAGCTACACGATTATTAATAAAATTGCTTATAAGATATTAAGGGAACATTTACAATATAATGGATATCGTACTGCAAATATTTACCAGGATTAATGGATAGCCCAATGGACGTATTTGTAACAGTCAGAAAGTCTGTTCTACCTATCGTTATGGATATAACTGTACATGAAATACGGACTTCCCGGACGGACATGAAATATAAAGACTGGTGTCTTACAAAAAGTTCTCTCATTTCCGTACAAAAGAAAAAGTGAACTAGCCAAATCACCAGTACAAATAAAAAAGGAAACTTTCTCTTCCTCTAAAAGAATGACTAACTTAAATCCCCATTTACATGTCCACCCCAAATAATCTGTCCTTCGTTGTAAGTTTATTGATTACTTGAATAATAAGTATAATCATATTAATATACTGCTCTATGTTGTGTCGAAGCTTGTAGGTGTGCGATTAGAAAATATTGATTTACGCCATTCTCCAAAAATCAACTGCAGTGCTGATGATTAATTGCATGCGCTTTTACAAGCGATATCCCGTGTTTTCTTGTTGCAATAATTAATAATTAATAAATTGGCACCTCGTATACCGATATCTATCAATTGCAATGCACGTACTTAAAAAAAGCTCTTCAAAAAAGTACATCTTATCGTTTAGCTTTCACACAAGAGCACTCATTAACAAAGATACCTCTATTGCGTTTGTATCACCATTTTCAACTAATTATACAATCCGTTTCACTTTCGTGATGCTTAAAATCGAAGTAACGCTGTAAAATCGGTGAAAGTTTAATGACGCTTGTGTTTTTACAAAATATTTTAAAAAATAGATTAAACCATACATTTAGAAAATTTCGAAATTTATTCATATCGAATTATCACTCGTCACCGAGAATCAAAATTTGCACCGGATTAAACGCGAAAAATTGTCAAACGTCATTGTGTCATGGATCCAAATTACAGTGAAATAATCTTGCATAAAATTTCCAAAAAGATTCGCAAAACACTCTTCGTTACTGAACAGAGATAATAATTTCAGAAGTAACCAACCTACACTTTGGTATGTCCCAAATTCAAATTAAAAAAAAAAAGAAACAGTGTACGTGGATAAAAAATGATTACACCTATGGTCTTACATGACACTTTTAATCGAGCAGAGAACTTTCATAATATTGCGACTTATTTTGCTCGTAATGCGTATCAACATACGGATACGTTGCTATAATATCCGAGAATAAATTGTAAATTATTCTTAAGCCTTAAATTAGTAATATCGACCATAAAAGATATGTTTCTCATAATCAAGAATACGTATAGAGAATAAAGACAGGTGATGATTACGCTAATCTAATAAGGCACGAAAGAGCTTGCGCGATTATAAAAAATATCGCGATATCTCGTGCTTTCGAATAAATTAATTATCGACTATTGTGAATGTTCTCTGCTGATCATATACAACATATTTACAATTTAATAACAATGGGTTCTGTCTCTCCGCAGGTAAATTTTTTAATAGCAATCAAATTATATCGAATGTACGTACTGCTCCAAAATACCTTCTTCAAAAGAAAAACGACAAATCATTACTCATACTCGATTACGATAGGCGTGATTTGTGCACATTATAATACACTTAAGAAGCTTATAGTTATGCATATATGCGTATTAGATGTCGCACTGAGTTCGCAAGATTCTTTTTACATAAGTCAAAGATAGTGAAAAGTGTGAGGAAGTCGAGTATATCGTTAAAAAGAAAAAAAAAAGAGATAGAGCGTCTCAGGATGATAAAGTGAGTAGGAAGACATAGGAATATAAAAGTAGAGAAGATGAGAGAAAAGATTTTATCGTATGCACGATTTGCTCGTAACAGTATAATAATAGAAGTGTTAACTAAATTGGGCCAGATTAGCTCCATAGGAATGTAAACAATTATCAATTTAAACAAATAAAACAATTGAAACGGTCGCAGTTCGAATCGCGCGGTAGAGAAGCATGTAAATCGTTTTTGATTATTGGAAATGTAAGGTTACACCGATTGTCTTAGGACTGTATAGTTTTTGTGAATTTTCCATAAAACAAAAAAAACAATGATTGCCTTCACTGTCAGTGATACAGAACAACGAAGTGATTGATCTTCTTTTCATATGACTGACAAAAACTTGTATCCAAATTTACTGGATCGAAGAAGCAATATTGTATTGTGCGTCAGTGAGAATTATATCGTCAGCCTATTTTCTAATGTACTACAATACATAATAAATTTGGTACATATTCAAAAAATTCTTGCAATGTATGCATAATGCTCAATATGCAGAAATTATGTTCATCAAAATTGTTTCTATGAATATTAATATATTAATTTGTCTAAACTATTGATACTACCGCTTTTTTCTTCTTTCATATAAATTACCATCAAACTAGTGCCTTTCGGAAAATGAAACAAAATATGAATTAACTGCGAGGTGGACTTTCCTATGATTATTCTTCGTAAGAGAAAGCGTGTATGTGCATTTAACTTGTATCGTCGAACAAGAATCGTTTTGCCAAACAACTATTTGTATTCTCATACGATTATAATAGAAGAAACCAAAATTATCGTGTCCATCAAAGAGCACGCTCCCGATAAATTCGCTAATATTGATCGCCACGTAGGAAAGCAAAAGTCGCTCTCAGAAATGTACAATTTTACGGGAAAAAAAAACGGTTCAATTGAAACTTCTTTCTAAATGTCCGATCACAGATTTAATTACTAATTAAGAGACAACCACGAGGTTGGGTCCTCAGGTTGTATCTAAGAGCGATTATACCAGCTCTGTCGCCATGCCGGTTGCCAAATATTACAATATACAATGATCACAGTTCGATTCGCGTTTCCACATTAAGATGAAGAAAGCAGCGAATTACGTTGGCAGTAATACGTTAAGATTGGACCATTTATAATTACAATTTTAATGAGGCTACGACGACAGACTCTGATCTCATGCACAATTGGATGTATAATTTTTTTTTAAGGAATTTTCGAAGTAAATATAAAACCAAAGAGAAAAAAAGAACAATGGCTATCGTCACGGAGAATGAAAAATTTTACGGTAATTACAAAAAAACTCATTAGCGACAGCAATTACAAGTGATCTTGTGCACACAATTTGAACACAAACTGGTTAGTTTCATTTGGTTTGTATGGCATGGATCTAGTATTTGGTTTCCTTGTTACTTATTATATTCGATGTTAATGATGATAATTAGCCTTAAGTAAGAAATAAGTTACAATTACACTCGCACGAAATCTGGCTAACTGACCAGCATTCTCTTTACGTATTCGCAATGTAAAAAAGCGTCGGATTAAAAAGATCTGTACAAAATATAATAATCAAAAGTTACAATAATCTCCAATGAATCATTGCCCTATATAAATATATAAATCCATTATCAATGAAATTATCGACTACGTAGAAAATACAAGTCGTCTATGTACACGATATCATAATTATTAATAGCCTAGACAGACCTCTCGGACCGACAGTTTGTCATATATATGTTTATCAAAAAGGGGATGGAAGAATATCTTATGGCGTGTATAAACTTAAAAATTCCCAATCATTACTTATATATTCGGCCATATTTAATTCAGCTCTCACGCTAAACTCGTCATCGTCGTGGCGCTAATTCATTGAATCTTCCAGTCATCGCATGATCTTATAAAAGCATCAGCGACTCGAGATTACGATGAAGTATAGTGTCTTTTACAGCACTGAACACGACCTTCATATTCTCGGTGTCCACTGCTGTTGTGAAGTGATAGAAGAGCTGCTTCTTCTTGTCCCTCTTCACGGATACAAACATATTCAAAATGAAGTTTTGCACGTCCTTCATGGAATGTGAGTCGCCAGTGAATTGCGGGAAGTAGTAGCGCACATTAGTATCCGCCGATCTAACTTTCTTATCGAGTAAATCGATTTTATTTAGAAAGAGGATAATCGACACGCCGCCGAATATCGTGTTGTTTACGATTGTGTCGAATATATTTCTCGACTCTTCCAGTCTATTGGTCCGCCTAAAATAACGAAATGAGCCACGTGGATACGAATAATTGAAGAGAAAGAAGAAGAGATGTATTAATGAAAACGTAGGCCTTTGTTTTTGTAAATCTTTCACGAGATTTTGTGTTATGCTATTCTTTCATTACCGTACATGCACATTACACTACTTACTAAAAAATAATGTATAAATACGATGAGCGACATAGTGCTAACGTGCATGTCAGTAAAAAATTACAAACAAATTTAAATCATTAAATCACGCGTTTGATAACCATAAGAAGTTCATAATGATAAATGAAGACGGTTCTACATACTCAGGAACAATATTAGTAATGAAAATGGTGAGACTCGGATAACAAGAGTTTGGACCGTCCAATGATTGCTTTTAGGATTGAGCAGCGTATAGTTATAATAACTTACCTGTCTTCTAGTAGGACTTGATCGAATTCCGATGACGAGACGAGGAAAAGTATCGAAGTGACGCAATCAAAACACTGATACCATTTCTGCCTTTGCGATCTCTGTCCACCGACATCCACAAATAAAAACGAGAGGTTGTTGATCGGGATCGAGAACTCGGATATACCTTTTGTAGCTTTTCTGCAGTGCAATATGTCTTGATTCGTAGGCACGTAGTCCTGCAAATGAAAACACACATGGCGTATATGGGGCATTGAATATATACTTCTATAAAGTGACTATTGACTACTCTATCTAGAGCTTCATTGAATCTAATCACTCGTTGTAAAACTAATAGCAGAGTTGAATATTTGTCAGCAGGGCTTTGATAAATTTGTAATTACAATCTTACCACTCTGGCAATCCTGTCAAGGCTGTCCAGGAAGTATTGCACTGAGTCACACTGAAAATAAAATAAATGCAGTTAAGCGTTACTATAAGCAGACGAACGAGACGCGCATTGTGTTCGTATTTGGAGAAAGCAATGACGTTTCGTTATGCTTGAATAAAGGAAAGACGTGCGTTAATAATGCATGGGAGCCTTGATAATTATTAGGATGATTGTAACAACTTGTATGCCTTTGTTCAAAATTTTGGAGTATACATCAAATTATCTCCAAATTGTTATGTTATGACTTGAAAATAATTTTGCATCTAATACTTCTTATAAATATTGTTGAAGAGTCATTTCATTTGAAAGGCATGTATATGTTTATTATAATTTGATGGCAGAAGATTAACATTCTAGCTGACATGGTGACAAATGTTGTACAAGTGGCGTAATCAAATTTTCCTGAAATTACATGAAAATATGATATTCCAGGAATGCTGAAATTTAAACTGTAATGTATGACTCACAAAACCGAAAGAGAAGCAACAGCCATTATTGCATAATGACCATTTGTGAAGTTACATTACATAAAAGAATCATTTGGCTACTATTTCCACTCAAAATATAGTTCTATAGTTTTAGGCAAATGCAGTATAGGGATAAACTGTGAGAGCTCCAAGATGTTACATTATTTTCACAAATTTTAGGAGTAAGATACAATAATAACATAATCTTATGTATGCAAATAAAGCTCAAATTAAATTTGATACGCAATCAAAACAGTACTCTTACCAACTGGAATTCTCTCCGCCTATCAAATGCTCTTTTGATGGAAGCATCTTTCCAAAGGCTTTGTAATGCTGGCACATAGTGCATGAATAGCCTGGCATCTAGGATCATAGTGTTCTCAAATTTGAGCAGTTGATATCCAATATCATAATTCTTAGGATTTTCCCATGCAATGTTCAATTTATCACGGGCGTCAACCAGCACCTTCATCCCTTTAATGATGTTCTGGTAAATTACATGCTGGTACTCCTTGATCAATTCAGGCTAAAAAAATTAAGATAAAGATACTAGATTATATCAAACCCTTCAATTTTTATGTTTCATATTTTATATTTTAAATTACTCCTCAATATCTACTTAAATAAACTATATTTCCAAAATGAATCACTGTAATTATAGAAATCTTAAATTATAATTATTCTAATGACATAAGTATAATATAAAAAGAATATTTTAGAATATTATAATTTATCATATTGACAATAATATTTATGAATTGACAATATTAAGAATTATTATAATATTATGAATTGACAATACAATCCACTTTCAGATATACATAAATGTTGACATTTTATGAAAAAGTTAATACTGCTGAATGATGTAATACAAACAGTATGACCAAGACCCCTATAATCGTGAAAATCTGTATAAGTTCATATGAAATAACAGCAATTGACATGAAATAAATGTTGACACTAATCACTACATCACTTTGCTGCATTGTAAACAAAATAACTCAGAGAGACAGTGTTCAGTCTGTTATTTTTGTCTGCGCACTGTCCCAAGAGCACTGCGAACAAAGTTGAACATTAAAGCAGACACAAGAGCCAATGAAGAAAGATAAAACCAAGACAGGCACATTCTAAAGAATCAAAGAACATTCCAAAGGAGTGAACAAAGTGTCCTACCTCAAATTTAATCCCATGGATAATTCGCATCTGTTTGAGGAACGTAGACTTGCCGCTTTCACCAGCCCCAAGTAGCAGGAGCTTTACCTGTCGACGAAATGTTTGCCGGTCCCTCTCGAGCATCCGATCAATTTCCTGACTCTTATATCGTTGTTCAATTTCCTCGGGGCTAAACTTGAACCGCAGGCAACAAGTACACGACCACGTTAAGGACCCCGCCATCTTGCTACCCTGCCCTCCCGATCCGCCGCGTCTACCCTTTCTTCTTTCTTTCCTCTTCTCTGTCTCACTTCTGATGCCACTTCCTGCTGCTTCCTCCCTCTTCCTTCCGGCTTGTTGTTCTTTTTACCCTGCTCCACTATTTCACTCCTGAACAATTGAACTAGCAACGCTCCAAACTGTGGGTTGCGGTCTCCACTCTCTTGTACGGAGTGCCGCTCCCGTGAGAATTCGTAGAGGGTCGAACAGGACTGATCAACGATTATTAATCCTTGGTGTAGGCACTTACAACCTGTTTATAGATAGTGACGCAGAAAACGGTCGCTCTCTAAACCAGCACAGGTATATTAAATAATCAAAACCACTTTCCACTTACTGATAAAACATCTATCAGACTGGTCACTTTGCACGATCACAGGATCATCATTGTCATATCACCATAACCGTCATTTTCATCATAAGGAAAGAACGAGGATGTGGTGGCGCGGTCGCAATTCTGACTGCTCGCGAATCAGCCTGCTTCCTTGCGAATTGGGCATGATTAAATAATCGTGATAATTAGAGACGACGGCGTACACACGTCACACCGTGCTGCTGCCCGGAGCCAGACGCCGACGCCGAACTCGCCCCGGTGTCGTACGCTGTTCGATCTACACGCAAAACTCTCGACGTCGGTTCCCTCTCGCCTGCGAAACTACATGATAAAGCCACGATGCAATTTCTACGACAGCGCAGCGAACTCAGAAATAATTTATCCCTACCACGGCATTGTTGTTAGTTGCACGCGCGCGCGCGGTCGCAGGCGGACACCAAATGCGTCCGCACAAAACCACTGTCATTCACTGATGTTTCTCTGTCGAACTTACACCTAAACCACGGACAGTCGACCGGATGCACACCTAATCGTTCTACCAATCATCGTTCTTTTTTCTTGGATCGACGTATCTCTAATTGGACGCTAAACATTCTTCGCTAAACATTGATCGTTATGATAATTATGCGCCTTAGTGAACGGGACTGACATTCCTTCCGATACAACCCGCAACCAATTACTTTAGATCTCAGTGTCTACCAGTTGTCCACTCTCGGACACAATCCGGCTGATTGCAAAACGGGACTTCGAATAGTGGTGGATATCATGATTCTTTACGACACGGAGATCCAATGGCAGTCTTATAGTTTTCATTCTGATTGGTCTTGATGTATTTCATTTAACGCAGAGTGGCCTGTAGATCCCATCAAGATTTTATTATTTGATATCATTTTCATATTAATAACAGGACGTTTTCACTTTAGCTGGTGGAAAAATTACATTCACTGTGAATTTTTTAGATGTATTTGTTTCCAGCTGTTTGTGGGTGCAGTGATAGCTGCAGGTAATACAATTGGTAAAGGTAAACTGTTTATTGGTTGCTAAAAAAAGAACCAACTAGTACTGCAGCCAATAGTATTCTCGCCTTCATCAGCTTATTTAGGGGACGTTCCGAAATTCGTCACTGGCAGATGCGACTATCGTTGCCTCGTTGCCTCTGTTATATCTCCAGTCAAACACTATCTACTGTTGTTAACTTTTGTACTGGAATGATAATTCAAGTTTTGGATTTTTTTTCCTTACGTTCTTGCAAACGTCAATGCGCATGAATGTCATGTATACGTATCGGAAAGAGCCATATTGGTTCCAAGCGAATAACGTTGAACTATGGTTTTGCTTTGTATATTTTGTATTGTAAAACTTGATGATTGGTAATTATACTTTACCTAAACGACCTAAACTAAGAGGAAAATTCTGCAGAATCGAGAATGGTTGAATCAAGTTGAATTTGGATAAATAGACAGCAGTGAATTCATTTGTTGGATTCTATCTGCATGTTTTAATATTTGTGATAGTGATAAAGAGAAACTTAAAGTACAAGCAAAGATGGTTGTGTGTAAATACTTTCAACAAGGCACTTGCCGGTTTGGGCAATATTGTCGATTTGAACATATAAATAATTTTGGTAAGTCTAATTTTTTTTAACGAGTCGAGGTTATGTCTGTATTTTTCAATGTTGACTTTTATTTGTAGGTGCTAATACTGCTGCTCGAGGAAAGACGCATCTAGATGGTAAAAGTATTGTGTAAGTTTCTATATGTTTTAAGATTGATATTTACTGTATTTTCTAAAAAATTAAATGTTTTGTTTACATAGTTTAGTCAACTAAAATCGTGTTATTATATTAACTTACAATTATAATTAGTTTAGGAGTAGCGGAGGAAGTGCTTGCTGCAGAAAGGGGTGGACAATGGCTTCTTTCTTGTTTTGGGCCTTTCAAAGAACAGCCATCAATTGCTGGTATGGAAGATTTATCACCTGATGAAGTTCGATGGGAAATGTACCAAGCACAGCTGAATGGAACGGCTGACCAGATGGTTTGTATAATACTTTTTTTTTCAATTGACCTGTCAATCTTCTATATATTATTACTTTTGTTATAATTTTATTTTATGATATTTTAGAAACTTCAATTTCAACAACTGTGTCAAGAAATGAAAGTCAAGCGTGATGCACTAAAGAATCCTACACCAGAAATTATATCTATGCTGGTTGGTATATTATTACATCATCAATCATGAACACATTTTCCCACATGTTCTTTCTCAATAATTATTATTCAAATATTTCTTTTCAGGAAAAAATACAAAAAGGTCATCAAGGTGGATTTGGTTCAGGAACAAATGCTGCTGCTAAGCCAAGCAACTTCTCTTTTGCTACACCTCAGCTCAGTTTGGCTAACAATACAACACCTACTGGAACAGCAACAACGTCAAATCCATTTGGTACTATATACAATTCTATCAATAACGTTCTAACGCCTCATCAATACTTTCTTGCAGGGTCTCAATTTGGAAGTAATGCAAATCCGTTTGCAAACAGCTTCGCACCAGCAGCAGCCACTCAAGGAACCTCCATTTTCGGCAGATCCGGAAATACAAACCCTGCCTTTAATGCGAAACCAACTTTTGGAAGCGCACCTGTATTTGGTAACACAACATTCGGAAAATTTACACCACAGAGTTCCGTATTTGGCGGAGTCGCCGTTACAAATTCAACTTCACTATTTGGCCAGACGCAAGCCCAGTCAAATTCATTCTTAAGACCACAGAGTCAACCGACAAATTCTAATGTGTTTGGCACAACAACCAGTTCCACTGTTTTCAGTGGAGCAACATCACCAGGTGGATCAATATTTGGTGGTGCCGCTCCAATACAAACCTCAACAACTTCTATGTTTGCCGCAAAACCTGCCACGAGTTCAATCTTCGGTGGTTCCACTACCACTTTTGGTGCTGCATCTGCACCTGCAGCTTTTGGTTCTGCTCCTGTATTCGGTTCAACACCTACTTTCGCCAAACCCTTTTCTGCATCACCATTACCACCACCAACAACAGCAAATTCCATGTTTGGCGGATCACCAACCTTTGGAGCGACTCCCTTTGGAACAGCACAAGCATTTTCAACAGTCGGTGCTCCAACAACCAGTGCTCCAATATTTGCTAATGCTACACCCTTTGGAACATTTTCCAAGGCTCCAACTTTTGCAAAGCCCAATACATATGGAAATTTCGGAGTAAATTCAACCAATACCCCTGATTCTGGAACGAACCTAGCTGCCTCTTTGCCTGCGAATTCGCCATTTCATACAAATTCCACTCAATCAATGAATCCTGTTGATTCGCCTTTTGCACCAGCCTATTCTACACCCACGAGCAGTGTAGTTGTCAATCCTTTCAGTCAAAGGACCCAGACAATTTCATCCCCATTTTCTCAAAATCCTTTTACTCCAGCTGCCTCACAAAGTCCATTCTCGAAACCATTCTCTTCGGCTTCAGCTAGTATAATAGATGACAATGTTTACAGCGACGACAATCAATTAACCGATGACGAGAAGCGATTTTACATGGCTGAGCAATTTGAATTAGGAAAAATTCCTCTAAAGCCACCTACAAAAGATCTTAGATAATTTGGCTGTGTTATTTAACGTATAAGAATTTACCACTTACGCCTTAAGTATATTCTACGAATGTATATAATGTACATAAAACAGACTTTCCAAGATAATAAAAACGTTTAGTTTCTTTCATTACAACAAATGTACAATTCCGCTAACACCAAAAACTTTGAGAAAATAAAAACTCTTAAATCATATCTCGATGAAAAAGCGTCGAGGATCGACAAGGGTATAAAAAAAAGATAAATGAAGTCCATTTAATGCGATTTTTAATGTAAGCATTACCTCCGTAATTAATCCGACATTAATCAATGGTAATAATCATAGTGACAATCGTAGTTAATCCTGACGACAATACAATCAATCAATTCGTTCTTAAGTATCCTTTGTCGTGTAAATCAACGGCGAATATATTCAGTGATATAAACAATTAATAATAGTTACACAATTAATCATCAATTAAACGTAGTTTTTCCGTTAGCTACAGCCTCTCTACACCCTGCATGTACAATCTAAATAAGTCCTATATAATATATCTTAGAGAATCCTTAGCGCGTGTTTATATATCATCGTCCACCCGCCCGGCGGCCAATCCTGACCCTCGCTCCGACCCTGTCTATTCGTAACGTAGAATAAAATACTATTAAAAGAAAATAGTAACAAGACACACTTAAGTTGCAGCAGACGTATATCATCTTAAGACACAACAACTGCCATTCGGAAAGATCAATAGAAATTTCTGCAGTTTTGAATGATTAAAAATTTCCAAAAATAAAGTCAAAGAGAAAACTACAAGTACAACGCAAGATCTCATCAGTTTTGACTAATAACAGTATGAAATTATTGTTTCAAACTTTCGAGTTCCGTGTAACGTATATTACTGACATTTGAATTTCACAGAAATTAACCTCAAAGCGTTACAATCTACAATAATTAACGAATCATTTAGTAATAAGAAATCAATAGAAAGAACAGAGTGACGCGGATGGACAGAGGTTCAACACTCAGCTAGAATCGTACATATAATTTCGCCTAACAATAGAAAAATTCAAGCATCTATAAGCATAATTTGTCTAAATCACGTGAAAGGAAAAAAAGGGTATCGCTCTGTCAAACGAAATCCACCGTTGCACAATGGGTGCACGAATTGCCGAATAACAATGGTAATACAAATAGGAATAACGATAGAAATAATCGAATAGTAAGTATTTATCGATAAAGCTAAAACGATAGGAACACGTAGAAATCACCAGTAGAAAAAATAACATGAGAGGAATATAAGCGACAGATTTGATTATAAGTAAGAGAAATAAATTAGTCGTTACAGAATTGGCCCGACAGAACGTCGAGAGTCGGCGAGAGGCAGAATATGGCCAATTTCTTTTCTTTTACAATTAAACTAGCCCTTTCCGCACGTTATGAAAAATAATTGCGACTCTCTCGTGTTCCTCGCAATAATGTAAATCACTTGATTTTCTTTTAATCGTTCCTTTAAAATAGATACCACGGGCGATTCTGTCGACATTGTTCCTCTCCGACTTCCCTCTCCATCATAAATCCAGAACATTTCACAAATCATTATTTTTCTTCAACGTTCCGCTTTCCTCGCCACCGGGTATTACGAGGTTCGCAGACCCACGCGCCGGACGTCTTTAACAATAACTTAAGTAGTAATGATTTAATTGATATCAAAATAATAATCGTCTGCAAAATTAAGTACACATCAAGAATAAAAAGACTTTCCTCGACACGAAAGTCTGCGATTGAAACGTACGAATAACAATATAAAATTCAACGAGGCATGAAAAGGTGTACAATTTTTTTTTGTAATAAAGCTAAAATTCTTTAATTCGCTGTACTGCTGTAGCAAGTACTTTGTATTCTGTAAATATTACGCAACTGACGTCCGGCACGATACGAATACTCGTTTTACGCCAAGATACGGTCAAAAGAAGATATAGCATAGAGAAATGAAAATAAAAGGAAAGTCAATAGCGACCGAGCGTGAAATTCATGGTAGATTAGCGCTTTGTGAAAGAGTTTTGCGTTTTATGTACATAGGATAGAAAGAGATAGACGGTACATGGACAATTATTCACCATTAATAATTGCACTGTGTTATGCACCACGTAATATTAATTTTAGCCTGCCTCTCGTGATTAGGGAAAAAGTAAATTACTCTGCCGACAATAACTGAGTCTTGGAGGGAATTGCAGCTGAATTATTTTATTCGTTATCTTATACTATTATCGCCATTTTCACTTTTCTTTACAGCCGCTCGTTTGAGTCTTTGCCGAATGAATTTGTTAAAGTATCGTAAAGCAAATAAGTTCACGAGCAACCAGGTCCGAGCCACCGCAAGTTAATCGAAAGTGGAATGACTCTTGCCATGCAATCAGCATCATTTATAATACATTAATTATGAAATACCAGCTCCTCTCGAACGAAAGCAAATATACAACAAAAATAAAGAAATGCGAAATTTGAAAAGGCGGGAGTCATTTCTCTCTAAGGAATATCAATGCGGAATGACTAATGTGCTCATTTGGAACGCTCGATTATTTAATTCTAATTGATGCTTCACTCTAGTAAAAATTTTCTTTGGTAAGTCCAGGGCCTGTCTAGATCCCCACGGAGTCAGTACAGGACTAGCTAGGGCCTGGACAGGCCCTCGATTTCCATAATGGAATTTCCATTCGGGTGGTCTTCTTTATTCTGTATGGCTTTACTCCCCCTATATGAGGATCAAGTGTCAGATTAGGGCAGTCAATCTGGCATTCATACAAAAACGCAGTGATAAGGTTAAGAGTCGCCAGAATCCTCGAAGAAACGAGAGGCAAGGCAAAAACACAAGGAATCTTGTTGGGACTCGTGTAATGTATTTCTTTTTGGTTTTCTTGAATCCCAAAAGTCACTTGTCACTTACTACGGCAAGGGGGAAATAACGTAAAGAACAATTTGAAAAGTATAGGTACGCGAAATAGAAAACACTGAGAATTTGTGTCTCTAAACAGGATATACTTGCTTTTCTAGATTACCGCAAAGAAGAAATATTTATATCGAGTTGTGTGTGCTGCCTCTAAAAATCGCGGTAAAAAAATACGCGACACAATGCGCCGGCAACTGTCGTCGCACCGGCTCGGAGTAAATAATTAACTAATAAATCTAATTAGTCGACGAAGCAGCCAAGCTTATTTAAACGAGGCCAGGATGCACACTCCTTGTCTCTATTAGAAAGACAAGCAAGGAAAAAGTAGGCGATCCCTCATTCTGTTACCTCTCTGTACGTCACCCATCGTCATAACCTTTATGTTTCGAAAAAGTCGACAGCCAATCAGAGAGATACGCGTCAGAAAGAGGAAGAGCGCGAAATGCGAATTGATTACAGGATTTTCAGCGTAAATCACCGCGTAAAAAAATAAATTGACGCCACATCGGCGACAGATCGACAGGTCCTTTTTCAAAATAATTTATTATTTATCACTTTTCATATTAAATAGATAATGCATCTCTTTGACGTATTCACCTCCATTTGTTCATAATGGTGTTTACAAATGATTAATAATGCGTAGGAAATTTAATCAGACGGGGCTCGTCTCGAGGGGAGAAAAACGAGGACAAACAGAAATAAGAAAAAAAAGAAGACGAAAAAAACACTTCGAAAAGAAAGTACGAGATATCTCAGTTACGTTGAAAAGCCTGTAAACGTTGAGTTATCTTTTAAGCTTTTTGTTTGCTTTTTTTTCATCAATAATAATACAAAGGACTATCGCGCTTATAATATTCTACCGTGAGAGCCTCTGGCGTGTGTTGGATAGATATTCTATGATAAATAAATAAATCGGCTTAAATAGATGTTAATTAATTAATTATGCTTTTTTTTTAGTTATCAGCAATCCTAGACAGCCAACCGGATCGGCTCGCGCGAGTTTCATTCGAGCTCTGGATAAAAACAATGCATGAGGAAAGGCTTGAAACGCTTAAAGCTCGTTTAAGCGAGCCCTCCGCATGGAAAATAAAAAGGATCTCTACACCCTTTTTCGTCCCTGCGGCCGATCCTTTTCGACGAATCCCTTCGACTCACAGGATTGGCAGTCCTGCGATTGTCCCGTCGAGTTTTGAGTGTTCAAAATGTTTTGTCACTTTTCCCCTACTCTCAGTTTGCTGCTTAGATTTTTTTCTTTGTTTCTTTCTTTCTTTTCCCTTCGTTCAATTTTATCTCTATTATCCACACTCTCTTCTGCATCCGCAACAACATTCAAACGTGATCTCAAGAACGCGCGAAAATCATTGATCGCGTCTTTAAATATTAGCAATTGGGTCGCGCGAATGTCTTTTACATATTTTCCAAAAATTATCAAGAGATCCAAATCGCTCTCTAGTTTCGTGCTTTAATTATTATTATCGCGAGATTGCTCCTCGCAAAGCTCGTTACAATTGCAAGCGATCATTAAAAAAAAAAGAAAATCAACTATTTACAATTCGACGGGACACGCGTGGTATCGTCGTCATTGCGATCATCCTCATGATCGTATATTGCGTATGTGATTATATCAAGGGTGGCGCAAAATTCACTACACTATTCACGCTTGACCGTTTTCAGAATAACGTTTCTCACGTAGATTCAGGTAAATAGAGATTTTGCCAAAACATTTTACTGAATCCGAGATTACTCTATTTGGCCGTGTACGACCAAAGCGTTATGGGAAGAAACGTGAAAAAGAATGATCGACACTAAGTATAGTTCCTATGGTATCGCAAAATAAAGGCCGATCGCGACATGTTGACGTAGAAGATCAGAGACATTGTATACAAAATTCGTGAAAAAAAAAAACAAAAACAGACGTTTGATCTTGTTACCTTTTCGTTCAACCCAAAAAAAAGAAGAACGAATGAACGTGTCGATAGTAATTTTTATGAAAACAAACACTATTTTTCATGTACAACTTCGAAGAGGAAATAAAAGCTTATATGTACGCGCGATTTTATCGTAGACAAAAGTACTACCACGCATATGACGTTTAAATTAATTCTTACACTGTATATAATGATCTAAAAACATAGAAGTGTTTCGATTTTCACGCCACCCTATATATATATAAGAGTACAATATACATACATATATATTAGCGCTGTAAGCTTTGCTGGTCGAAACGTAAGGACAAAACGAAACCGACGGTGCTCTCGTTGCGGATATACGCGACATATTTTACGTCTTACTAGAATATATATATAATATGTCGATATATTATAATTATATTATATTATGTACCCTTACTAAAAAATACCGTGGGACTTATGTGTACTGTTTGCAGATTAATTCCACGTCCTGAATTCTCTTCTTCTCGTCGGCGCAGGTGATTTTTCGCTCGTTCTCTGTTAAACATCCATAAAAAAAAAGAAAAGAAAAGAAAAGAAATACCATAAGAACATAATATCACTTTCGTATTATTGTATAACAATTTGAATGAATCCTTTGTTCCTCGATGCAATGCCAAAAGTGTAACTGTTTGAATTTCAATACCGAGACGATGAGTATTAAGACCTTTTATATTCATGGAAGTGAAAGAGAGCGTATTCAAGTTGAGCTTTAATTAATGCGACAGTACCGTGTGAAAATGTTTTAATTGGGTTTCACGTTGCATCGAGTATTCCTTGATTAGCACATTCTTATCATTGTTTATCGCACACTAATTAGCTACGAAAAATTTCTTTGGAGTCCAGTTCTCGCATTAACACGACTTAGGTGGTAAATGACGTAAGGAGTAAATTGAGTAAATTGACGTTATTATTTACCTCGGTTTCCAGTTCGCACGATATTTGCTGCAGTGATGTGATGTTGGCCGGCTCTAATCGGTTTGGCAATCTGGGCACTAGGTCCACGACGTGCAAGGTTCTTCTGCCGCACGGCTTCCTTGATTCGATCGACTTCGTACTGGTAGCGTTTTCGATCTCTCATTGCACCTTCCTTAGCGTCCCTCAATGCCGTTTCCAAGGCCTTCACCCTCTCCATCGTCGCTCTGAGCCTCTTCTCTAATTTCGGCAACTCACAACGTAGGTCTGCATTGTCTCGTACCAGTTGCTTGTGTACCTATTGGCGAAAAATGACCGTATTTTTTAATGATTCGCGTAGTGCCAAGTTATCGAACCTTTTCACCTTGAGTGTTTCAAAACGAAAAAGAAACTAATTTTTTTTAAAGACGTTGACATGGCTAAAAGGCAAGATGTACATTTGAGGACAAAAAACTACAATGGCATAGTAAACCAACCTTCGTAAGCTGGTCTAGATTGTTCTCCAGGAATGAGATCTTCTGTTTCTGTGCGAGGGATCCACCATCATCCTCGTTGTCCTCGGCATTAACAGACTTCCTAATCCTGGCCTGAAGATCCTGAACGAATAGTTTTCGGAGATTGTGCAAAGTCTGCAATTCTTTAGCAACTGTATCCTCCAGTCCCTTGAGATCCTTTCTGGCTTGTTCGCGACGCTCGTTCATGAGGATCAATTCCTGCAACTTAACAGACTTATCGGCCTCCTCCTGCTTCAGACGTTCGTAGTCAGCCTGCATCTGCTGATGTGCCAGGGTAAATTTCTGGTTGAGATCTTTGAGCTCGCCAATGAGCTGCTGTTTCTCTGAAATTTCGTCTCTCAATGTCGCCACCTGAAATACAAATTACGTGGCCGATATAGTAAGAAGCATCGGGTCAATATTGCACCCTGCATCTTATATAAATAGTAATTGAATTTGTACTAACTTGCTTTTGATGGGCGTCACGCAACTGATCCATTTGTTCTTCAAGTGCTACTCTCATCTTGGTAGCAGCCTCCTTTTCTTCAGCCTTTTCTTTATTGGTAACAGCTTGCACTTGTTCGGCAGCTTTCAGTTTGGCGCATTCTTCATGCAGAGCATCTACATCTTCCTCGAGAGAACGTTTCCTAGCCTCTACCTCCTTCATCGACTCTGACAAAGACTGCATGCGAGCTTCGTGTTGCGAGATCAGAAGGCGGCATTCGCCAAGTTCCTTCTCGTATTCTGATACCTAAATTAAACAAAAAGAATGATTATAATTATTTTAATATTAGATACTAATGTATTGAAATATTATTATAACATACCTTCTTATTGCAGTCGGCCTGGAAGGTCTCTAATCCCTGACAACGCTGCACCAGATTCTTTACCTCGGACTTCATCTTGCTGATGTATAAACGTGCCACAGTGAATTCTTCCTCAAGCTTGCCATTGCTGTCGGGAGTGATCTGTATAACAAAATATTTGTATTCTAAGAATATGAAAATATCTTTTAGTTCATAACAGTGCCATTGATCAGCATACGATTTCGGTATAGAAAAACTGAGAATATATTTAAAGTATACCAAACAAAAATTTTTTTAATTGTCATACTCTTACCTTAATATTTTCTTCGCCACCAATCGCAACGCCAATTTCTCCCAGATCTTTGAGAAGATTCGCCAACATCTCAGCGATTCGTTTTCGCTGATGAGCAGACATATCCCTAAGTTGCTGAAGCTCGGATGCCGTGCTGTTCAATGCAGCCTGCTTGGCTAGAAGCTCTTCCGAGAGAGCTTCATGCTCCTTGTTCTTAGTCTCGACCTGAAACGATTAAGGTAATATGATAATGTTTGGTTAAAGTCAAATCAATATCCATATATATTTTGTTAGATTCTACAATCAAATAGAAAAATATATTTAAAAATAATAATTTGCTGAAAATACGTTTGCAATATTAGTATTTGAAGCAAACCCATCAGATAGCACGTGGTGGCTAATGTCAAGTCTGCTCTTGCTTTTGTTGATGTGTATATACATTGATTTTCATGGCGATAATATTGGGTTGGCATGAAAGTAATGAGGCACTCTAGAAAACTCTACACATGTCCTTTTTTAAATTAATTGTTTTTGACCATATTCTAGTATGTTGTAGAAAATTCTAGATATTTCCGCTCTATGGGTATATACAATAGAATATAGTCAAAAACCATTAATTAAAAAAAAAACATGTGTAGAGTTTTTTTAGAGTGTCTCATTACTTTCATGCCAACCCAATATATTGAATATGATATACAAATTCTTGCTATTTTTTCATTTCTACCGGGTTATTGGCCTTGGTTTGCTATAACTTTTCTCTATGTATTGAAATAGATTGTACAAAAAAGATATGAATCTCTGAAGCACTCACTTCCGGCTGTGGGAAGTGCGCAAGAGGACGTGAATCGCCAGACCTGATTCTGGCAAAAATTGGATAGGAAGTTCCAAAGCCATGAAGGCTACGATAGGCATAAAATTTATGGTCGAGAATCCCCGTTTCAAAGAGCCTGAAATATCTGTGAGAAACATTTGTCGGAGATGACAACGCCTGTATCTACACTGCAGTACAGAGATAATCATCGCACACCGTATTAAAACTCTCCGATTCAAATCATATGCGAAAGAAGTTCGGTTCGCAGCTGTACAAGCTGTCCGCAACCTTCAAGAAACGAAATAAAGGTCCAGTCACAATGTATCTAAAGAGGTGCTTCAACTATGGCCTAGACCAAAACAAGGATTAGCCACAGCAACCACAAAAGCACTTTTAAATAGTGTGGGCCATGGGCTTGAAAAACACATTGATTGTGGTGATCGTTGTAAAACCAAAAAAGATCCTCGCCTTAATTATAGAAGTTTGCCGAATGGAAATCTTTGACAGATCAGAAGCTTCAAACAGAGCTCTTTAGTAAGTGCTACAAGCAATTTGCTACTGCTGTTTCCTTCGAAAAATTTTAACGCTCCATTCATAAATGATGTTCAGTTCTTCAATACCAACTGTTGCACGAGAAAATTGCTGATATGCAAAGTACAGTGATTTTTCAAAATCTGTACTGTCGTCAAAAAGTGAAGAAGCAACGTGTTCGATTGCCTCAGGAAAGAAAAGAAGATGTTTCCTACCAGTCTGGCATGGGCTTGTATATTTGGATGGACGTTGTGGAAGGCGAGATATGTTTCACCAAAAACAATCCTGTTTTTGTCATCGACATTGTAACGACTAAGCTGCATTGGAATTGCAGTAAAATATGGCAAATATAAGTTTTATCGGTTAATGTTTCTACTACAACGAATCAATTCAAATGCTTCTGCTGTGAATGAATTTTCTATAATCGAGGGGAACTTGTGTAAGAAAGAAAACACCGTTGCCCCAACTCTTCCACGATAAACAGACAAAGAGTTTCTACAGTTTTTTGGAACTTGTAGACCAAAGGTGCTATTGATATGTTATAATGTAACATCGTAAAATTCGATACATAAAATATTATGCGTAGTTTGCTAAACCTTGACCTCTCTACAATAGTTTTCGTAGGCATGTGTATGGCGTCGTAGATACGATACCACTCCGCCAAGGCAAGATGAAGATGCAAGAAATTAAAGTAATAGACGCAGCAGATTGAGTTCTTTCGCATAAGCATAAAAAATATAGGATCAATTTTCTAGCATAATTCTAATATATTACATTTAATGGTTATTTTTACTAACAACCATTACAATGCACTGTGCAAACTCACCAAATGTATTTTCTACTGCAGTGCATGTATGCATAAGTATGTCGATACAACAAAAAGGGATTTGCATACACATAAATATATGCAGTGGACTTAAATTTATAAAAGATAGGCGTGTCCTCTTTCTTACAAGGCCAATGACCCACACTTTAAATGGATATGATTCAACGCTTGCCATAAAAAATGTATCTAATGTACAATGTACAGTGCAACTGTTCCATTCGAGAACATCCTACACTTCTTGCATGACTCATACATTTTTATGACGCTTACAAAATACCAGTAAAATTTCGACCTATCCTTACATGGTATAAATATATTGATTGTAAAGTTATTCATTTATGGTGTACGGAGTTCAATAAATAATTAGTCTTTGTTAAAGAACTGCGTACACTTTTCAAGGAAATAAATATAAGCTGTTCAAAGAAGATACAATACCAAAACAATATGTCCGGTTGTACATACCTCCTGCGATTTCTGATCGTAATTAACAGCCAGTTCCTCGAGCGCCTGCAGGACTTCCTTGACCTCCTCCTTGGCACTTTCGTTCTCCTGTTGGATGCGATTCATCTCTTGCTGAAGTTGCTCGTAATCCCGTCTGGCACATGCGATAAGCTCCTCCTGCTCCTCCATTTGCTCCTTCAGTTTCTCTACGTATTGCGAATGCTGGTTGATTTCCTCGTCCTTATCGTCCAGTTCCTGATAGAGACGCTCTCGCTCCTCTTCCAATTTCTGACGTTCTTCATTCGACAAAGAGCCTGCCATGAGGCCACCACCTGGTGTTGCTGGCATAGGACCATCGTCCAATTTACCTACAATTTGTAATTTATTTAAGTCATGAATATCGATGCAAAGAATGAATATGTATGCAGGCTGTATTTTTTTGAGGATATTGAGTGTCCATCCAAAAAAACATTTCCAACAATGCATAGACAATTTCGTCACGGATACTTATTCCAGAAAATACTTACGTTCCGTACTTTCCACAGATGCCGTGATAGGCGTGGTGACATCCGGTGCTTCAACAATGCTAAACTGTTCTTCCGGTTTGACGGTCTCGCCTTGTCGCCACCTGGAAAGCTCAGCTTCAAGCTTCTCAAGCTTACCCTTGAGTCTTGCAGCTTTTTCTTTCTCGCGTTCATAACGTCTCTTCCACTCCTCAGCAGTCAACTCCTCGTTGACGCATACAACATTCTTGATAGTCTTGGCACGTTTACCTAACGATAAACATTGGCAGATTCATATTTGAAATAAAAAATACTTGTTTACTTGATATCACTTTTTTCAATTTTTTATTCTATCTTACCAAAATCTAAGGTCGATTTCGTCTCCGATTCGTTGAAACTGGCAGGCGAACAACAAATGATGATAGTTGTTCTGGCATTACCACCAAGGGATTCCTGAAGAATCCTAGTAAGTTTTGAGTCTCGATACGGAATGTGCGTCTTATTGCCATCAGCGAGTGCAGATATCACATTACCCAAAGCTGAGAGGGATTTGTTAATATTCTTTGCTTCATCTAGGACAGTACCTTCGGCACCAGTTTTCGAAACCTTTAAGAAAAATTGCATCTGTACTATTTGCACTTGCGATTTTGAAGTAGTTAACAGTTATTGACTGATTTTAGTAAGTATCATATAGATACTTTTGATAAAACAGTTATAAATAGCAGATCTTGATACTTTCACTTCTTCGTTTATTGTAACAAAAAAAATTAAATTGTTAAGATATTAATTAAAATTTACGTAAACACAGCAGTGCTTTCCGTACAAATTGATAAATGAATGAGATAACAAAGTTATCTTTCGAACTTTTTATTAATCTATGAAAGTATTTAATATTCGATGTGATGAAAGGAACAAATACTCATGTTGAATAATTGGAGTGATAGTGAAGGTAATGGATTAAAATAAAGTCCTTTGTAAGCGTTACATATTTGAAAATTTGTACAATAGTACATTTGCGGTGAAGACATAATACAATTTTTCTTACCTTCTCCGAACCAGCAAGATCGACGAGGTAGAGTTTTCCGGAAAGTTTCTTCTGGTTCTCCAGATTTTCCTGCTTGACGTTTATTAGGAATACGGAATGAGAACGCGAGCTGTGCTCATTCATGTTCGTCACGGCGATATGACGATTCGATTTTCCTTCTTCAATCACCTCAAATACTTCTTCTGGGCTTGAAACAAAACGTTCCGTTGCTCCTTTTACAAATGGTACGCGGTTCTTATCCTCGTGGACGCTCAAGTTCACTTTCGATACTGTGAATAAAGAGAATCATGTTAATCTATAAAAAACTTGTCGCAGAAACGATGACTGGCATCTTGTTAATATGAATAAATCCATCACGAATGTAAGTCAATGAAGTTTACCATCAAGTAAATCACGAATTTTATCCATGTAGATTTCAAAGTAGGAGACTTTGATGTGAAACTCCAGATTCTCTTCCATGCCATAGATGTGGTTAAAAATGTCGTTGACGATCCTAGGGATGATACCTTGCTTACCCGTGTCGCCAATGACGCCTTCCATTGTGTGCGTCTTTCCTGGAATAATTAAGAAAACATCATGGGACAATATCACATTACAGCTTGACCAATGAGGATCAACTTTCAATAATACCATGTATATAACACGAATAATAATTATTATAGTTTCTAATATAATTGCAGACATTGTTGAAGAGATAATTGTTGTAGTAATTACTAGTGGAGTAGATGAAATGCATGGACTTCTATTATTCCATGTATATATGTGTATACAGTAATAATAAACGAAGTAAAAATAATTTTAGCAATTTTACCTGATGAAGTTTGTCCATATGCGAAAATTGTCCCGTTATAGCCTGCCAAGACGTCTGTGACAATGGACTTGGCAGCTTCATTGTATACTTTTTCTTGTGTTGCATTGGGCTTGAATACTTTATCAAAGAGATAGACTTTTCCCTAAAAAAAAAAGATAATAAAATTTGTTAATTCATTGAAAAAAACTTTCTGCGTTTCTTGTATAACTTAAATTCATTTATCATGTCCATTGACGAATGTAAAATTAATGTAAATTAATAAAGCTATTAGAATCTTAGAAAAATGAATTCGTTTTCATAACGAAATGTAAGTAATTCCCATAAGGTTAATAAATTATTATCAGAACGCGAAAATAAATCTTTGATTAATATTAGCGATGTTATCGTTATGGCGCGCCAGATAAAAGATGGCTTAATTAGCAATTAGTCAAGGTGCGCTGATCGTGGGTACACGAGAACTATTTATTGCGTTTATTACGAGTCCGGAAAGGACTTGCTAATTTGTCTAGAACGCTTTTCTATTATTAGTAAATTTAAGAGATCTTTGAGGATCCTTTGTAACACTAAACAATGCAAATTGTTACACAAAAGAATATAAGTAAAATTGGAGCATCTCATCTATCAAGGAAAAAAAGAAAGAAAGGCCATCTTTGTTTTATGAACAAAGCCTGGAGTTTATAGGAACACTAAGTGGAATCAAAGGGTTGACCCTAAAACACTGCATGAAAAATATTTCCTAGACCCTTCACTACTCATATACATTGTTAATTAATATAATCACTAGTATGCACTAGTGAGTTAATATTATTGTTATTACATTTTGCTACCCACTCCAATTATCATACTACTACAAAATGAAAAACACTGAGAAAATAGACAATAATACTCTTCATTATAGGGTTAATGTTAGAGAATTAAAGAACCTTAATTATTTGTTGAATGATAGAATAAGCAAAGTAAATACAAACCAATTTTAAAGATGCTACCTAGACTTGTATACAACATGCTCCAATGAATTCAGATATACCCACATTATTCAAAATGATCAACCCAAAATAGAATATAAACAAAAATGTGCAATATGTAGAAAATGAGAGAGATTATTGTGCTAATTTTTCTCTTCCGTATTGAACAAGCCATCGCGTTGTATTATGGCGACAGCATTTGTAAGCATGAAAACAATGCAATAGGGTAGGAGAGAGTTGGCGAGGTAAAATAGAATCTAGAAAATATTCAAAAGAGAATACGAAGTGGAGCGTAGCGAATGGGAATGGAAGTGAATCGGTCCGTGCGATTGGTTTGATGGAAATCGGTGAATATCGACGAAAATCCCCAAAAATGAAACAGGACCAATCAAGTCATAGCAAAGTCGAGGCAATAGAAAAACAATGATTAATTAGATGAGCGTGCTCCTTAATTGAAATAAAAGAATGTAACATACTCCAATGGAAATGCAATTCTCTTCGCCGCCGGACGGGAATTTGACGACGAACTTGGACCCGGCCTTCTCTTCGGAGTCGTTCAGCGGTCGGAACCTGCACACCACTTTGATGCTGTCTTCGGCAGCAATCTCACGCTCTCGTGGAGTCTCCATGGCTGTATACGATTGGGAAAAACCTGCGATAAAAGGGACACACGACGATTTCAGCAAAGAAGGCACGGCATGAAAGCCCTGTCAGCCGAACGTCAAAATGGCGACGGTCCTTGCTGCCACAAAAGGTGTCGGAATGATTTGGGATGACTGATGCTCCGAAAGCGTGGTCAAATCCTTTTTTCACGACACTATCTGTTCTTCTCAATTGAAGCTAATAGTACAGACATAATTCTATCCACTCACGACACGAAAGGAAAAGTTTCGATGTGAATTCACGGAGAAAAAGTGCGAGACGGCGGCTGTCAGCCGAACGTCAAAATGGCGCCGACAATGGCTGTCGATTATGCGCGTAGGACAGGTGTCGCCACAGCCAGTGCGGATGTAGGATGATTCAACCTCGTGAGACGATCACTTTACAATACTATCTACTTTTATTGATAGTGCACACTGACTCGAGCATAGTTTTTATAGCTTGTTCGATCAAGAAAATTTGCTAGAATAATCGAGAAATTCAATAGAACTAGGCTACCACAGATAGAAGTCAAAATGGCGATACTCCGTTCTATCTCGAAACGTTCCGTTACAGTAGTTCCCCGGTAACGTTAGAAAATTTGTCTCTCACGAGGCACTAGCTGCCTTTACGTATCGTGAACGCCCGGCCGAACATAATCGCGGCGCACGCAATGACTCCGTCCTCACGAGGATTGCAAAAAAATCGGAGCACAACGCTGCACCTAAGACAATTTCGTCGGCCAGCCGACGACCAACTTCTATCGTTTTCTTTTTCTCTCTCTCTCTCTCTGCCCACTATCCCCACCACGTGACCTTCGTCACCGCCAAATTATCGATCTACCACCTTCTGTACGATTCTAATGACTTTTGACATCGTCAATTTATTTTGTGTCATTTATCAAGTTGCTTTTTAAACTATGTACTTTTTAAAAATTATGTAATTAAAAACTAACATGGCGGTATGAAACTGCGCGATTTTCTTTATCATGCAAAATTGAATTCGGTTAGACCGTCTGATAGTAGTTTGAATACAATTCTTTAAAATTGTTACATTTGCTACCTATTCATATTTCTGATTTTTTAAATAAATTATTTACTTACTTTTCCTACTTTTCATTTTGAAGACGATTTTTGCTACTTAACTGTTAGGAAATTTCACGTAAAGGCGATTTTCTGTAAATAGAGTTACGCGAAAGATCATACGACCTGTGCATGGAGTTGTAAGAACATTTTTTAGATTTCGCAAAGTATGAGACGCGTTCTTATTTAGATTACACGTTCTGGCTCTATTTTGGATCGAGGCCGTTGTCTAAAAATAAATTCTGTCTAAGAGAAAAAACCGGATGAGCTTAGCTTTCGAGAGAAATCTAAAGTAGATATCAATTGTTAATTAATCTTCCAAGAGTATTAAATATAACCGTCACAAAGAAAATATATATACAAATAACTATAATCAAAAAGCACTATTTATAATAACAATAAATCGCCATATAATAAAAATTAACACTCGAAGAATCAAACAGTCGAATTCATTCTCACTTATAATAATATACATATAATACAACTACCAATATTAATGCTTTTCATTCAACTTTATCCATATAAACAAGAAATAAGAACTAACGACGTTTCGCAAACGTGAAAGTTTGCAATTGTTATTAAACTGATACTAAATGAACACGGGGATATGAATATTTCATACTATGACTACTTATTGACAGCTCTAAACTAGCTGATCATTGAGGAAACGTGACAAAAACTGAAAATATCAACGTTGACCGTGGCCCAGAATAGAGCCGTTGACATTAGTATAGATGTTGACAGAAGCTTAAAGGTGAAATGATGTCAAGTTTAAGAGGAGGCGTTTCAATTTTCTCTTTTCATTTAACTTTCCTTATAAGTAAAACAATCAGTTTAACGACAAGATTCATATACACGTTTACAAATATACAAGAAGAGTACTGAGGAACATTTTCAATAATATAACAAAACGAGGCGTACTTTATTCTCCATTAACAGGAAAGCAAGAGCGCTTTAACACGATTATAGATCCGAGTAACATAACTAGCTCGCGTAATACAATATATATATATATATGTATATGTATATATATAATAAGATTGTAAAGTTTACCTACGAGATACATGTGACTAGTTCGAGGATTTATTTGAACGAAGTTCCTTAGTTCGCTGCCATTCCCACCCATTGGCTTTAGCTATTATTCAGTGAAAATAATTGTTGAAGGGTGAGTAGGAATATTGGAATAAACATAGAAAGTTGTACTTGTACTAGGCGATTGGCTTGCAAACTGTAAACGGTTAAAGCCATATTGATAAACAATATATTGAGCGTTAAAATCTTTCATCGAACCTAGGGTGTATAGAGAGTAATCGCTATTGAAAATAAAAACTAACTTTTAGTAAGTCTTGTACTAAACTTCTATAATAATTAACTTAAAGGAAAGTTACAATTTTTAAGTCATATTAATATATCTGTCCAAAAACAATTTGAGAGTCTAGTCTTGAACTAATACCCAGATATCAGAATCCCTGATGGACTTATAATTAGAATAAATTATAAAAAAAAGGTTATATCTTTTCTAATGCCATTAAAGTGAAAAGTATCTATCAAATTATCGTTATAAAAAATGTAAACCTATATTAAATGTGTCAGTAGTGCTCATGGCACACTACACAATATGTCCTTTAAACAGATAAATTAAGCACACTAAGCAATGACAATAATACTACGTATTTTCTGTTACTGAATGATAGTAATTGTAATAAGGAATGACTTGCCCTTTTTATTCAAACGAATTCAGATCCTAGAAGGTGCGACTATTTGAGCGCTTGATAATTATGCACTACCTGCTGGTATCTGATTCCTTTGAGTATTATTTGGGAACTAACTTTACAGATTCCATGCATTTACCATGAAAACTGTCTACAAATATGGCTTGGCAATGCTGACTAAAAAATTATTATTTGACTTTAAAAGCCAATGGGTTACACTAAATTACTTTGTTAACTACTCAAAGGAAATTAGTTCGCCTGACAGTAATGTGTGAAAGTGCCAGTGAAATCAGAAGAGAATGCCACAACAAAATGCATAGATCTTTTTCCTTTCAACATTCTCGTTGTCTCTAGCAATTTATAATTTTTACTCGTTCCCTTCCTTCTCCCTTTTATTTTTATCACTCACCCTCTGCTATCATCATTATTATACCTATGTACACTCGGTTATTTTGATTTCGATACTTTACTCAATACCAAATGTATTGGTTTCCTCCACAGCTAGGAGTAATTTTTCGTATAAAATTTCAGGCGTTGGATACGGCGGTAGATCCAGTCGATTGAAACATGTATGAGCTCTGAAAATAGAAGTAATTATCTTACTAATATATGTTCGATGCACTAAATTGCTGTATTATATTTATGAGAGTTAATCAAAAGTCACTGGTCGCAACGTGATAACGATAAAGAGAACATTATAAATTTATTCTATTATAACATTCTATTATAATCTATTAATATGAGGAGGCATTTGTCATTAGATTAAAAAATGCATCGATCAGCAAAAAAAATGATGCTATGATATGCTGGGG